GTGGGGGTGTCAGAATCTGTCTGGGATGTGGCAATGAAAAAAAACAAATGTGCCAAAAACAATTAAAAAAACCCTCAGCGGGAAACAAGAAATCACATTCATATATTTTAGCTAAAGTGAAATTGGAAAATTAGAAATTCATTTGCTGACAATTATCTATATTTTTCCAATTATTTATTACGTAATAAGCTAATGGAAGAATGGAAGAAGTTTCTTTCTTTCATTCTTTTTTTTATTAGATACGTTGAAACTGTCAGAGCCATTGTTGTTCCATATTTTGTCTTTACTGTGTCATGGTGTGAATATGTGAAGCTGTTTTTTTGTTGTTGTTTTTCTTTTTGCATCTTTTCTTATTTTTAGTTAAATGACGCAAACGAACAAAAGTCAAGAAAATCCCATTAACATCTGAACTCTGGTTGCGATTCACTCTCACGGGGCTTGAGGAACAATTAGTTAAAAACACATCAGGTAGGCCCAGAGAAACAGACGTCACACACCATTCAGAAAGTACATGGAAGGAGCAAGACACCGCAGTCCCTGGGTTGAATGAGATTGTTAGTATCAACCTCCTCTCCCCATCACAAAGAGACAAACTTCTCAACTTGATTGGAAAGAGGTGTGCCACTATCTGCCTGCTGGACGGAGAGGAAACCAGAGCTCTATGGGATACTTACTCTGGGGGCCAAGCGGTGGCGAACTGCTGCAACTGCAGTTTAATTTGTCTCTGAGTAGGAGAAGTTCAACTAGAGGAAAGTCAACAAATAAAGTAAGAGAAAGTGGAAGGGGGTCTAATTGTTCCTCGTGTCCATCCTGTCGCACTGGTCTCATTTTTACATTCCCTGAATGTGTTTCTTTTTTTACAACCACTCTGATAAATCTTTTTGCGTCTATTTTACAAACCATAATTACTTGTTGCACAACGATTGTGGGATTGCGCGGCGTGGCACATCGTAAAGGCGTTTTATTGATTTTCCTCCAGTATAACAAACGACAGCGCTGTTGTCGTGGTTCTTGTGTAAATGATCCACAACAGCTAATTTCCCCAACAATCAATTTCTTCGGTCCTGGTTTTCCTCCTCTGTTTATGTTCTGACTCACAGTTTTCTTTGCGTGCTGCGTATTTGATCCAACCCTTTGAATAGGACTGTGGCAACAACAGAGCCGCTGGCGCCAAACTCTGGGCTGGCAGCGAACATTAGAGAGTTCTGGCGGCCTCTGGTGGACGGGTACAGGAGAAAAACGTCTACCTCACACAGTCTTCGCAGTCCATCAAAGTAGGATGCAGGGCCGGCCCAAGGCACAAGCAAACTAAGCAGCCGCTTAGGACTTCAGGGCCACTAAGGGGCCCCCCTCAGAGGAGCTCATTGATCTTTTGATTTTTATACTTAGCGATGAAATAAGCACATGAAAAGTGTGTATGTATTATTGTCAAACTTAATTAATGATGCAATACTTTTATTTGGATTTAGATATCTCGTCTAAGTAAATTTAACTAACCGTCCGTCCGTCCCAGGTCGCCATTCATGTGGGATCCAGCTGACAGGTTTGCTGGTCAGGCTGTACACGAAACCCGCCTGATTAGCTCTCTGATGCCTTATAGGAGGCAGCGCAGCATGTGGCTGCGTCTCGGCATCAAAGCCGTTAATGAGTCAGAGGGCTGATCACAGGAGACGGGATGAATGAGCGGATCGGCGAGAGGAACATCACAGGACGTCCAGAAGTGAGAGGCGGGCAGAGAGATCTGAAACTTTCTTCCCCGTCGATAAGGTGTTGTATTTATTTATTTAGCTTTGGTTCCCCTCCTCATTGCTGCGTTTCTATCGACCACAGACTGTGTGATGGGCCCTCGATGCCAAACTGAACAGTGGAAACTCATTGATGACGAGATGGGAGATTAAAGCTTGTTGCCAGACTCTTCTGTGAAATCAATTGAAACTAACTTCAGATGTGGCTTGTCATGTTTCCGTGTTTCGATCTGGTTGAAGTTCTGATTTATTCAAGATAAAAGTTTAAAAACAAACTTCAGGGTGCACATCCCACACAATATAAAGCATGAACTGATCAGTTATTTTGAGTGGATCTCGTGTAATTCTGTCTTTTTTCCCCCCCCCCATCCCTCCGGTTCTAATCAGATTTTTTTTAACCTCACATCCAGGCTTGGTTCAGAAAATTGTGGAAAGAATTAACAACAATGAAAGGTGATTATTGGTTCCAATAAAAGGATTTCAATGACCGGCAGACAAGCTAAAACGCCTCAAAATCTTTGTCAAAAATAGGAAGAAATCTTTTGTGGTGCAGTGCGGAGCAGCAGCCAATCAAAAGACGGGCTGTGGCATCATGGGAGCACAAAGACGCCTCATCGAAGGTCCTTCCTCCCAGCAGCTCTTAGACTTCAGAACATCACTGGTCCCAACAAAACCATTAGATGTTTGCACATCTCTATTGTTTAAACTGTTTTTTTTTTTTTGCTGCCCTTCCTGTGTGGCACCATTGTAAATTTGATGGAAAAGATGTAGCAGACTGTCTTCTTTTTTTTTTTCTTTTTACATAAAATTAGCTTACTTTTTTCACATTATAAATCTAAATATTAAATCTGCATCCAAAAGTTAAATCTAACTTCTAAATCTAAGTGTAAATGTGATATTTGGATTTAGATTTGCTAAGAATTTGCGAAACGTAAACAATGTGATATGACAGTTTTTTTTAAAAAAATACATTTTCAAGTTAAATGTGACAAAAGCTCTCTATGGAAAAGTGATTGAAATGTTCAAAAACCACACTGTACAATTTTTGCATTTTACACATTGCGTCCCTCCACTTCTAAACACACTGTTGTTTGTATGCACAAACACACGTGCACTTTGTAGATGGTTTTACTTGTTCTGTTTTCATTATTCTATTTTTATCAACTGCACTTATTTTATTTGTTTACAATAAAGTAATGTTTCCATTTTTGTACAGTCTTTTATATATATATATATATATATATATATATATATATATATAATATATATATATATATATATATATATATATATATATATATATATATATATATATTTTTTTTTTTTTTTTTTGTGAATCTATCTTTTTCACCTGCCTGTCACTTTGTTGCTGGTACATTTGAATTTCCCTGAAAGAAATACACTATTCTATTCTATTCCATTCTATTCCGATTGTAAAAGAGCTGAGAGGAAGCGAGATGTGGATTATATCCTATAATCTCTCAGTAACCAGGCTGATATCTAATACATCTGCAATCATAGCTCCACCAGAGCGGTGAAGCTGCAAAAGTGAAGCAATGCTGCCATCTAGCGGCGAAAAGTTGCAACACTCCGTTGTTGTTGTTTTTTTTTTTTTTTTGCAAACACAAAGTATCGACAAAATGGTGCCCAGTGCTCGGCCATGACAATGCAGGTCAGGGGCGCTGCGTGCGGTGCACACAGCAGCTGAAGAAAAAAACATGTCTTAAAAATCAAACAAGCATGGAGTCAAGGTTTGTTTAAAAACCTGTAAGCGATTAAAGAACTGCAAAGGCTTTGCTCTGAAGTGGAGGCAAGAGGGCTGGATGCAGTCAGCTGCACTCCTGAAATCCTGTAAAAAAAAAAAGAAAAGAAACAAACATATGCATGTATATGCATCATTTTGACATCACCATGACACGTGTGAAATCCATGTGCGTTTTCACCTGCGGGCAAAAAGAAATGAGAGGCTGGGACATGAGGGGAAAGAATGCGGCAAACGTACACAAACACACTCGCGCTCAGATCACACTGCGCTGTGAGTCCGGATGCACGCGCTGGAAAGGCCGCGCCTGCTCCATCAGGCCGTACGCGCCAACGTCTCTGAGCAGAAACTAAATCCGGAGCCTCCTCTGTGCCACGCTGCTAAATAAACCTGTGATCTTTCGCTCCGGGGTTGTCGGGGGTTGGGTGGTGGTGGGTGAATGTGGGCCACGGTGCTCACGCGTGAGTTCACCGAGGGTTTAACATGAGCCCAGAGAAGGAGGGTTGAAAAAACATGGACATAGATGCCCGCTGCCATGCCTTCATTTGAGCGGGCATGCAGGCTGAAAGTCAGGGTTTCCACAGGCTTCGCAGGAAGGCCTCGGGTCAGTCGCCGGGTCAACCCTCATTTACTGGGCGAGGATAAAGGCGAGGGATGGTAGGTGGGGGTGAATTTGAGCATTTAGTGATGGGTCGGAGCAGCAGCACAGCTGTTGCTGCAAACCTGTGGCTGATTCAGTTGAGAGCTCAGAGTTTTATCTGTTTGACTAGACAAAGCAGGCCGGCTGGGGTTCGGCCTTTCATAGGGAAATGGTCGATGTACCGTCAGGTTTCAACAGCTACAATTTAAGTCTTCTTAAGACCTGATCAAGACTGATGTGACATTTAAGGCCTTTATCAGGACAGAAACGTACAAGATGAAATCATACGATTTCTAGTCCTGCCAAGCGTGTTTTTTGCACGGTAAGGCAAGTTGCATCACCCAAGTTGGCAACAGATGTGAGCCAGCGGCAAAGACAAACGGCGCCGAGTCCGACTGCCGATATTATACACCTGCCGATGACAGATGCAATGAAGCTAGCTGGCTAGATGATTTGTTAGCAGCTAGTTAGTGGTAGCCTCGACCGACGTGAGTCACAGAACCCAACGAAGGCAGAAAACTCAGAGAAAAATGAACCACATGGAACATGCAGGACTAAAGTTCAATTTTGCTCTGCCACAACAAAACTTAAGACCTTCCACTCAGGTTTTTAAGGCCACCTTGCACATTTCCTAATGAATTTAAGGCGTTTTAAGGATTTCTTTCTTCCCACAACTACGATCCAACATGTTAAAATAACTCGCTGCAGTAGTGGTTTCTACTACGTCTCGCTTATGGAGTTCGACATCGTAATGAACACTTTGAGCTGCATGATAATGATGAGGAAAAAAAGCTTGATTTACCGAGAGATGTCAGTTTGTCTTTTGTTTTAAAAAGCACACTGGAGACGATGATTCGAGGAAAATTTCCAGGACTTGTTTTTATTAAGAGAATTGCAGAACATAAGAGAGGGACCAGACACCTGCATTAGTTAGAGAAGGAATCCAAATTCAATAAAAACAAACAGAAACAAAGGAAAAGAGAGAGAGAGAAGGAAAGAAAGAAAGAAAAACAACAAAAGAACCCAAAAACCGAGTGTTTAGAAAAGCTGACGCGACAGCCCGGATGGAGCAGGAGCTGTAGTCTTTTTGACGTTTTTTTGTTTTTGTTTTGTTTTTTCAAAGTTTTTTTTCTTTTTTAAATCTTATTTAACACGCAGGGTCGTCTAAGGAGACGGGAGGCGGCGGGGGGGTCGGAGGCAATCGCTGTTTTCCCGGAATGTTTCACTTGTTCGTCTTCCTCTTTCTTATGGACAACACGCTTAAACACACCTTTTTTTTGTTTTTCTTCGTCTGTTTGTTTAAAACACAGTTTAAGTGAATAAAAGAGAAAAGAAACGAGATCATAAAACAAAAGTGGGAGGGGGGAAAGGGGAGAGAGAGAGAGAGAGGGAACTCACTGCACATTTAGAGGTCTAACAGAATCACCCACATGAACATGGCTGAACCGTTAATAAAAGATGAACAAAGGCTGATCTGTCGGGAGGGGGGCGAGCGGGCGGATGGGTGTGGGTAGTCTAATTTGTGGGACAGAGCAGGAGAAGGAGGGAGAGAGAGAGAGAGACAGTGAGAGAGAGAGAGAGAGAGAGAGAGTTTGGGGGGTCGGAGGGGAAATAAACACAGTAATACACAACTCACGACATTAGCCAATCCGGCAAAAAGGGACACGCTTTCTACACCAAACAAGCCTTCAACAATCATGAAATGCCATTTAAAAAAGATTTTAGTGTGGTTTTTTTTCTTTATTCCTTGCCCGCAGACACTTGATATGACCACTGCACATCTGCTAGGGCGCTCCATTATCAGCTTCGCTTTTTTGTGCTAAAAATCTGTACGGATACTTATAAAATCATTGATAAAAATATTCCTCTGTTAACAATACGCCTCGGAGGGGGGAAACCATGTGAGAGACTTGAGGAAGGGGTGGGGGGGAAGAAGAAGGGGAGGTGGATGTAGAGTAGGAGGAGGAAGCTGGAGGGGTCGGGGGTCGGGGGGAGGGATAGGGATGGGGCAGTGGTGCTACTCGGACTTGGCCTCCTCCTTGGCCTCCTCGGGGGCTGCCTCCACCTGTGGGGGGGTTCAGAGAGGACAAACGTCAGCTGGGCGGGTTCGGTGGGGCGTTACGCCACGCGGGCGCCGCCTCACCTCGTTGGTCTTGGCCTCTCCGTTCTCAGAGTGGTTCTCCTCGTTGGCCTCCGCCTCGGCGTTCTCCTTCGCCTTCTTGGTCTTCTTGTCCTCCTTCTTGTCGTTCACCACCTTTTCTTTCTGCCAAAGAGAGAACAAGAAATTTAAAAAAAAACAACATACAAACAAAAAGACCTGAGCCGGGAGGAAGAGAAAAGGCAGGGTTCTGAAGGGGTGACTCCGCCCCCTTACCTTTGCCGCCTTCTTCACCTTTGGCTCCGGCTTGGGAGGAGCTGGTTTCTGGGGATGCAAACAGCGCCCGGTTACTCTTGGCAACGCTTTATTCTGAACATTTACAGCTTTTATTTATTTCCTTTCTTTTCCCTCCCCCTCTCTCTCTGGAGTTTCTGAAGCCAAACTTTTCTTAATGCTGTAAGTTTAACGACCAGAAAAAAAAGTTTTAGAGCAAAAACGTGACTGAATGCTTCTTTTCTCTTCCTCTAATTCATGTTGAACAACTTTGAAATGCATATAAAGCAAGTAACTGAACTTTTTTTAAGCTTTCAAAGATCGTTTCCTACCCATGTTGTGCTTTTACCGCCTCACAGACGATTCCTGAGTTTTGAGCAGTTAGGGTAGGTTTGCGGTTAGGGTAGGTTTGGGGTTAGGGTAGGTTTGGGTTTGGGGTAGGTTTGGGTTTGGGGTAGGTTTGGGGTTAGGGTAGGTTTGGGGTTAGGGTAGGTTTGGAGTTAGGGCAGCAGTTCCTCACGCTGCCGGTTTGCATTTAAAAGTTGCTGACACTTTAATGTTTAAAGGTTTGTTTGTATGTTTACTGTCCAGCGTTAGAAGTACATCTCTTTTTCACTCCCTAAAGGCAACTGATGAGACTTTTAACTCTAAGCGTTTGATGAATTAGAGGCGCATCGATCAGGATGCTAATAATAATCGTTTTTGAATTTCTCGCGAGGCTGACTTCCTGAATGTGACTAAATCTGACCGTTTGTTCCTCCAGTAACAGGGAAACGTGCAGCTTCTTCAGTTTTGAATCAAACAAAAAAAAAACCCAGAAAGATTTAAATGATTACACATAACAGCTCACGCTCCTCAACTTTTTATTTTTATCAATCTCACTTATTTGTAGCCAATTGATCAGTTGGTTCCTACAGCTAAAGTTTATTTTGTTCGCCGGTCCTTTTTAGTCACACAACGTGAAAGCAGCATGTCATCACTTTTTATTTGTTTCGTATTGACATGATTTCGGTTTACAAAAAAGAAAAAGAAGAAAAAAAAGTCAGACGCCTCGTTTTACTCCCTGAGAGGAGCCGTGCGATATTTACTCAAAGTTACAAACACTCAGGCCTCCTGGAGGATTGTGGGACGTTCAGCGTGGTCGTTAAGGTCGTTAAGGTCAACTCGGTGCGATCAGTGGGAGACTCTTACCGCCGATAACCGAGCCGATCTCCTCTGGGGCTGAAACAGAAAAGATCAGGATCAGGTTTGGATCACATGTGGTGGTAAAGCACATTTGGTCTCGATCGAACACGGAGCGCGTGTCCGGTTTAGTGGATCAGAACCGGACGACGCCGCGCCGCTCACCTCCTCCTTGTCTCCTCCTTCCGTTCCCTGTGCCTGGAGAACAAAACAAAAACAACTCAGAATAGGAAATAAGTCATCGATAACACAACTGGGCTCAATATTCGGTTTATTGCTGCAAGCAGCCGGATTCCTTGGGGTTCTGGCACACGGTCCCATACGCCGCAGGCCCCCTGGGAAAACTTTTCAATTTCACGTGAAAACTGAAACAAGAAGTCCAAATCCGGGCGGATTTAATGCACTGCGGGCTTAAAATGCGGCCGTCACAGGCGGATCGGGGAGCAGAGAGCCGGCGCCGCGCCACGCGGCTCCCCGGAGCCACACTGGAGGGTCCGGGCCCCGTTTGCCCCCCGCTTCGCTGCCCCTCCGGCTCCTTCATTCAGCGCGTGCTGCTCGGATTTGAACGCTGGCGCGGGAGCCTTTCAGGAGGGGGGAGGGACCAGCCGGGGGGGCGCTCGCGGGCTCCACCCGGCGGCAGAGGCGCGCCACTGCAGCCATTCGGGACTACGAACAAAGAGAGAAAATATATAATTTTGCCAAAACGCCGCGGCGAATGTCCGATTTCGCGGTCAAAGCGCAGAGCGGGGGCTCCGGGGCATTTTCTGGCGCCACTTCCCGGCGGTTCGGTGGGCCCGCGGCGGCAGGCGGAGCGTTTTGCTCTCGGTAGGTCGGGCGACGAAGGTGGAAGAGAGCTGCAAAGCATGGCTGCTGCTTGTGCTTTAACTGCATGGAGACCGAGAGGCACTTCTGACTCCCCCAAAGGACAGCGGCTCGCGCACTCCACACGCGCTTTAAAGGCCGCGTTCGAGCGGGAAAATATCCACTCCGCCACACAAAAAATGTACATTATATGGGGAAGGCAGGCAAAAATCCCCAGCGACGGAGAGCGGTCATACGTTGCGTTATAATTAAGTAATGTCTCTGAGGGATGTCTCCACAGCCGTTTGCATTGGATTAATGACTGACTCGCGCCTCCAAATATTTGTACCGTCTCGAGAGTACGTACCTTTCTCTTGGGCATGTTGATCTCGTGGAGGTTTCCTGACAAATGCGACTAAAAGCGGGTTTTCTCAGTGGGTTCAGTGCATGTGAAGACGAGTGTCTCCCCGTATGCTCGGCAGTGTAGTAAACACACTGGAACAGAGAGGCGAGTGGTTGAATGGGGGGAGGGGTGCGGCTAAAGCCGTGATTGATAGGCGCTCGGCCAATCAGGTGGCGCCATTCGGGCCCGCAGAACACTTGGAATTTCGGAGCCGGCGATGTTCCGAGGTCTGCGCGGATGATGGCTGCTGCTGCTGCTGCTCCGCGGCAGAGGATGGGAGGAAGCCATTCCCAGGCTTTCTCTGCCTTCGAGGACATGTTCGGCTTATTGACTGCGAGGCGGAGGAGGCCTCGCTCGCTCGGCTGCGCACACGCGCGCACGCGCATGCGCGCGCCGGGCGGGCGGGCGGGCGGGCGGTCAGGCCCTGACGGCAGAAAGCAGGCCACATGCCCCGGTGTTCAGAGCCGTGCATCCCCCGCTGGAGAGCGTGAGAGCGGGCGAGATCTGAGACGTTTCTCCATAAATCCCGTCCGTGTTTCTGTCCAACATGGCGCCCGCTGTTCTACAACACATTTCTTTCTTTTTTTTTTTTTTTCCATCTTCTCTGTTGGGTTTCCTAAATTTGTTACAGGCTTCTTCTATGGAAGGTCGAAAGTGCCACAATCCAAATACTGACTAATCGATTTCAGCTAATGTTTATATGCCGGTTGTTTGAATAAAACAACCACATTTGTACATTAAATGTGCAAATGTGTTTATAATTATTTGATAGTGTCTGTAAGTTTTTAAGATACAATGTTTATTTTTATGTCAGACTTTTGTGTTTCTATATTGTTATATTTGTCATGATGGTGCTAAACATACCAACTGTAAAAACAATTTGCTTAGAATGGAATATATAGTCCAGTTATTCTAAATTTGTTTTCGGCTCCCTATATGGAAACCCAAAAGTGCCACAGTCTAAAAAAAAATGTAATAAACACTTCAAATGAATATTTTTATACTGGTTGTTAAAATAAAACTTTAATATGTACATGAAATATGCAAATGTGTTTATAATTATTTGATAGTGTCAGTAAGTTATACAATGTATACTTTTTGTCAGATTTCTTTACTGTTATATTTGTCATGATTGTGCTAAACATACAAATTGTGGTGAAATATATAGTCAGGCTGTCGCAAATATATTTTAGGTTCCACAAACCAAAAAATTAAGTAAACTGTTTACGTGAATATTTATATTGATTGTTTCAATAAAACTGTAACACATCCATTATATAAATACAAATATGCTTATAATTTTTTAATAGTCAATAATTTGTTAGATACCATGTGATTTTTCATCAGATTTTTTTGTGTTCCATTATATTGTTTTAATTGCAGTATTTGTCATCACTGTGCTAAGCATACCAACTGTAGCAAAACCTGGCTTAAAGTGAAACAAACAAAAAAAGACAGTAAAACAAAACAAAAAAAAAACAACAACTTTGTTTTACCGTTTATAAACGCGTGTAATAAATATATAAAAGGGTTAATTGGAAAATCTACCGTTAATGCACTGCAGTTGTCAGTTTTGGAGTCTTTGTACTTTAACCTTTATGATGAATCTTTTACGAGACGTTTCAGTCAGGTGACTGTTTATAAGACTCTCTAGGAAGCATCACTCTACCTGATGACGTATGCTAATTGACTTCCAACCAGTACAATCTGCTCTATTGAAACTGGTCATATATAGAGAGTCAAATAGAAAACATTTAGACATTGAAAAGTACAAAGTTTGATTTTTTTTTCTTCTTTTTTTTCAAATGTTTTGGTCTGACCGCTCGGAAACCAGCATCATGGATCCGTCTGTTTTACTACGTCGGGCAGATTTGCTTGGCAAAATGAGGCAAAATCTTTTTTTTAATATATATATTTTGTCAATTTGATGGCATAATAGATCGTATCTGGTTTCAAGCTGGGCTGCTTGGTGGAAGCACTGACAGCGCTGTTGCCTTGCAGCATAAAGGCCCTAAGAGTGTGCCAGACATTGTGCATGGACACATTTAGGAGAGGCGCTCACACTTCTGAGAAGTTTGAAATTAACGTTGTTTTATACACTGCAGGGTGAAGTGAGCGCTCCTCGTTCTGGACCTGCTCGGGGGTGAATAAAGGACCCAAACCGTCTTTTCCAGGGTCAAACTGAATGTTTCTTGCAGAAAGAACTAGGGTTTTCTTTTACCTCTCTGAAGCGCTGAGCGAGTCATTTGGGTGTGAGTGTGTGTGTTGGTCATGCAGACCAATGAGTCTCTTCAGCTTCGAACTCGACTGTTCTGTGTTCAGCTTTGGCTCCGCATGGCGATATCTGTAAGAACATAAGACAAGGGGCTCAGGACCCTCAAAATTAAAATAGTAAACTGAAATATCTTGGAAGTCCAACTTTTCTGTTCTCATCCCATTCAGGCCAAATGATGCCTCTCGGCACCTCCCACAAGAGAGAACGACAAAAAGCGCCCTTTATAATGTCTTTTTAGTGTTTTAATGCTTATTGTATATTAGCATATATTTGTGCTTTTTGATTTTACTATCTGTTATACTTTATTAACATGAGTGTCTAACTCTTTGCTATGCTTCATTTTTATTAAATTAACTTTTGCATTTTTTGTTGATAATAAGCAAGTCTTCTCACATAATTAAATAGGAAATTTGATGTAATTGCACACTATCATACATGACAATGTTCATGTTTATGTTTCTGTATGTTTAATTGAATGTGCTGAATACAAACCTAGTGAGCTGTACTCGCACTCAATTGTGTTTTGCAAATTATTCAAAAATTTCAATAATTATCACTGCAGTTAATCAATAATGTACTACTTGCTCTTTTTATTTTTAAATGTCTTAAATTTGATCTCATACATATTTAAAACTGATGCACAAGGATAAATCTTTGTTAGACAAATCATTTAGTTGTTGGGTTTTGAATAAGCAAAATTAAGAAAAACAGTGACATACAAAATGAGCATGTATTTTTATTTAAAATACGTCTGTGTAGTTCTAATGAAGCGGTCCAATGTATGGATTTTAACTTCAGTCATTTATGGATGTACTAAGTTGTGACACTTCTGGGCCTCCATACATTCCCGCAGCAGAGGCCTGCAGGGGGCCTGCAAAGCCCGTCTAATGAAAAGTGGCTGCCTCCACAAGCTGCACTGCTGCACAAAGACGGCTTAAAAAAAAATCACAGCATATCTCCACACGTTTAATTCACGATCCGCGCGCGTGCACGCCGGAGTATTCTCTGACACGCGCCGAAGGGCTTAAGACAAAAAAAAAAAATGGAGTCTGGCTCAGACAAAGAGCTCCACGGTGAAATATTGTCAGACAACATAACCTCGAAGTGATGCCATCTTGACAGCACTATCGCCCTTTGCGCGTGCGCGTTTGCGCGCGAGCGCTGTTCGAGCTCGACGGAGAGAGAGGGAGGCTTAAAGAGAGAGAGAGAGAAAGAGAGAGAGAGAGAGAGAGAGAGAGAGAGAGAGAGAGAGAAGGGGGCGGAGAGCTGGAGGAGGAGGAATGCCAACCTCCATCCAGAGCTAAGAGCAGAAGCATTTGCGCAGATAGTCTGCGCTGCAAGATCACACTCTCGCTTTCCCAGCCTCGTTAGTTTCTCGGGTTTTTTTGTTTTCATATTATTATTATTATTGTTTTTGAGCCTTTGCTGCCCCATCGGCCTGCGAGGGAGCACGCGTCGACAGCAGCCAGCCTGTGATCATAGACTGCATCAGGGATATAAGATGGTGATCAAAGTGTACATAGCAACGTCCTCCGGATCCACCTCGGTAAGGGACACAACAATGGCATGACTTGTTTGCTGGAGGGGTTGAAGTGCTGTTCTTTAAGAGCAGGGTTTATTCAGAAGATCCAGGGATTTATTTATTTATTTATTGATTTTCCTTTTTCTCTGGAGGGGCTAGGTGAACTTTGATTGGGTTGGTTTCCACCAGGCTCTCATCTTTCTGCCTAAAGAACCATCTGAATCATCAGTAGGGATTTTGATTGTTTTATTTTGGAAGTTTAGAGCATTCACAGCAGGGGCTGGTCTCTTGATTTTTGCTAACTTTGCCACAGAGGAAGTGCATATGGCATGACAGACCTCACTTCTTCTCTCAGAGCTGCGGTTTGCAACAGTCACAGCTTCCTTATGTGACAATTCAGACCTTTTTGTTCGGCTGAAATGCCCCAAACGACAAGCAAAAACAAGCACTTAAAAAAAAAAACAACAAACACAAAAAAAAACAATCACAACTGGAAATCAATAATGGTCTCGAGATCTAGTGCCGGGTCACCTGACGCCAGCCAGCGCTGCTTTGGGTCCGGCGAGCACAGAGGTCAGACGTTCTCCTCGGGGTCACGCAGCATTCAGGAGCGCTTGCTTCAGATTTGCAACTTTCTTTCGGAGTGGATTGGAATGACGGTGATGCAACTCTCCAGGGCCTCGCTTTCAGAGGAGCAGCTGCAGCCGAGGAGCAGAGTTTAGGACTGTCTGAAAACCACGACTTGTCCTCGATGCGTACTAGTTTACTGTTGAATTCTGACGAAAACGTGTTGCTTCTGGCACGCATCCACCACAGAGGTTGCGTTCGCCGCACTTTGAAAAGGTTTGGAGTCTGGGGGTGGAGGTTCACCTCTTCAGCTGGAGAATGACCCTAAACATACAGCCAGAGCTACAGTGGGGTGGTTTGGATTGAGGCGTATTTATGGGTGAAACTCCTCACCTAAAACCAAATGAGAACTTGCACTAGGACAAGAAGTAGTCAATAAAATTTTATGTTGACTCTACCTCCGATTTGACCTATTTTGAAAGGTAACAACTTCCACTGTTGGTGGAGATAAATCCCCGGTAAAAAAAAAAAAAACAAAAAAGTTTGATTTGGGTGGCTGAATACAAATGCACAGCTCATGCAAACCCTAGCTTCTGATTTAGTCTTTGCAGGAATGTACAGTTTCCATTCCACTTCAAAAACTGTGTCCCTACTTCATATCGCTGTATCGCGTAAAGTCCTAAAAATACACCCAAGTTTGTGGTTTAGCAGCTCCCAACAGACAAACCCATCAAACACAGAGCCTCCTTCA